CTGCAGCGCCTGCAAGTGACCTACAGAAATTACATTTGAAGAGAAAGTCGAGAATTACTTCGGAATATGCACGTCCCTAATATCAATACATACATCGACCGAGGCACCTAACTGTTATGTAACGACCTGCATCACAATTCCTTAAACCACTATTGGTCCGTTATAATACTCTGCGACGACAAATTATTGTACTTCATCAGAAGTGTCCAGGACGCTTAACCTTTTCATAGGTTATGTTTCAATGACACCATGCTTTCAGTGCACGTATCATAAATCTATTCCTATGGTCGCAAGAGTTCCAAACGTTCTCCACAGATGTCAGGAGAGTACGGGGAATCCCCTTTCACCCTATCGCGTATTTTAGAAAATAGTCAATTAATTTTGATTAGCCTGTAATTAAAAATGCTCGATGGGTGATTGATGAACGAGAGTTCTTGTTTCGAGTCAATTAAAGTTGTCAAGCAGTAAAAGGAAATGACAGATCAGGTAAACGGTTCTTAAACAATTTTATTACAAGCTTTTGTTTGTGTGTGCGTGCGTGTGTGTGCGCGCGCGCGTGTGTGTGAGAGAGAGAGGGAGGGAGGGAGAGAGATTTCGTGCGGATCGAATGGAAACGTCAGATCGGCCTTCAGGCCAACCTTCATCCGCAAGTTTTAGGTGAAAGTCGTCCTTAACCTTCGCATGCAGCCTAGGTCATTTCACTGCCGCTCATTCTCTTCCGACAAGCCCGTCTTGCAACAAAGTCCGCCTTGCACTTTCCCCTTGTGCTTCTACTCGGAACCGTTTGCTCGGGCTAGTTTGTCATTATACGGCTTATGAAACGGTTCACTGTTCTCGCCAGTCACTATCGATTCATCATTCTGCACGTTACTTGCGTGTTCTTCATAGGGTCAGACCTTGAATCGCTTGACATTGCGGAACATCTCAGGTTTCCAACTGTACCTTCAATCGAGAACCATAAAAACTGTTCCTCTTCTTTATCAGAACATGTAGCTAGGGTGTTCCGTGACGATGTGTTCACATGAATTCTGCTGCAGCAGTTTTGGTTTGCTTTGAATTAGACTGGGTACCATCAGAGCTGGGTAAAATAGTATTTTAAATGGCAAAAATAGTAAACAGATATTTTACTTTAGATCAAGCATGTATTTTTGAAGATAAAATATTTCATATGCTCGAAAGAGGGTACTTTTAAAAATCAAATATTTTGCTCCTTGTAACACATTTTAAAGATAATATTTCAAATATTGTATTATTTGTATTATTTGATTTATTTAATTTATTTAATTTATTATCAACAAATAAAATAACTTTATTTTATTAAATTATAGTAAAAGAGTTATTTTGGTAATCTAAAACGAACGAAATACTTTTCCTCTGCATTATAAACGTATATAAGTATCGTTACATGCGCTTCATTCGCAAACATGATATTTTTTGTTATCTCGTTTCACGCTATGTTAATCTTCACAATTTATTTTCAGTATTCTGTCTTATGCTTTATGTTATTAAAATAACAATTATTTTATTTTGTTTTAGATTATCAAGCTAAAATATTTATTTTCATGACTTAGCTTTATATATAAATACTAAAATAAACTATTTTATTTTACGTTCATTTTACCTCGAATTAAAATATTTGATTTACTGAAATTTGATGTCCTACTTGAAGTATTATTTTATTTGAACAATAAAGAATGTGTTATTTAAAATAGTATTTCAAATATTTTCTCTATAAATATTACCCAGCTCTGAGTATAATGTATAACTTTCCACACACAGTACTAATGTTTCAGCTATTGGATGCTAATCTATGTACAATCTATCTGAATCTTCTAAATACTAGTTTATGTGAGAGAGCTAGACAATGAGGCTCCCAGACTTTTGCTATTGAATTATGTGCCCCACAGTCTGCTTTAATTCATCACCCTTGACACTTTTAGCATCAGAGATTTCCCTCCAGAACATATTTCTCTGGAAGCATGTTCTAGACCTTTTGATGCTCTCATCTTGTTATCAGTCAGCTTGCTCAAACAATTCTATCTCTAATTCTTCATTTGGAAGATGTTTTATCCTCTTTTAAGCCTTTGGTGCAACTCAAAAGGAAATTGAATTACTGCATCAGCAACCTGACTTTCCTAACCCTTTGTGCTCTAAAATGTTTGCTCCCTTATATTTCAGAATTTGCTGCAACATTACATAAGTTTTAGACCTTTTGATGCTCTCATCTTGTTACCAGTCAGCTTGTTCAAACAATTCTATATCCCTAATTCTTCATTTGGAAGATGTTTTATCCTCTTTTAAGCCTTTAGTGCAACTCAAAAGGAAATTGAATTACTGCATCAGCAACCTGACTTTCTTAACACTTTGTGCTCTAAAATGTTTGCTCCCTTATATTTCAGAATTTGCTGCAACATTACATAAGTCAAGCATATTCCCGTATGTAACATTGCAAACTAGTTAGAATACACAAAGAATATTACAATTGTACTTATATACGTCCTATGCAATTCTAACATTACTCATGGACATAATGTAAATCAGTCAAATAAGTAAGTACTAATGCCAAAGAGTAAATATCAATTCTGGCTATACAAACATTTTGAACAAAAATTTTGTTATTATTATTATCATTATCGTTACCATTACTATTATCTCACCGTACTTTTCTTTAAATTTCTAAGCAGATTTCTACTAACATAATTGAACAATACAAGAGAATACACACAAAATTCGTTGTCACTCTAACATAAACAACCGAGAGACGGCATCGAAGGTCAAACAGTCGAAGCAGGCCTCGAGATCTGAGTCCCAAAAGACCCAGACGTGGTACGATGACGGTTGAACAATGGTATACGAGATCTCCATCCGCCCAAAGCTCTTTTAATCCTTTGATATACGTGCTCGACGGAATTTGAAGGAAATGTAACATCGCCGGGCAGAGAATCTAGTTAGAAACTGCATGGCAGATGGGATGTCGGCGGGTGTTGGTCGCGCCTATACACGAAGTGGCACTTGAACGACGCCCGCAAGTAGATCGAGGTTAAAGATTTCTATGCCCGAAGGTTAAGGATGTCTCTTGCCGGTGTCTATCGGACCGGGGGTTATGCGTGAAAGGTTCTCCCGTTTTACGTAAGGCGAACGAAACTTGTTCTGCATTACTTATTTCGTTCGTCCTCTGTGTCGAAAGTAACTTCCGCTCTCCGCCGAGCGCCCGAACACGGCTACCATTCTCAGCTCTCGACGCGAGAGTCCGCGAACAGATGAAGTGTGCTAGGTTAGAATACAATGGGATTAAGACATAACATCGGAAAAGCTCGACGATGACGATGGATGTGATGCTCCAAGAGAAGTTAAAACATTTACCTGTCTATCTTTCTGAATAAAAGTATAATTTGTAGAACTTGACGTAACCAACGCGAGCATCTGACATAACCTTGTACCCATGTCTTGAGGAATTTGATTTTGGTAAAAGGCTTTGAAACTTGTGTACTGGTCCTAAAACGGGATACCCGTTAGTAATGTCGTTTTTTCAATACTTATAGAACATTTTTTATTTATTTAACATCTAGAGTATAGAGGATGTCCCAAAAGTTACTTGAAATCTTCCTGAAGTTATTCGATGTAATTTTTTCTTCAATGCGAATGCGATCTGTTTACGGCTTTGTTTACGAAAAACAGTGGCCAATGAGTGGCGAGATCAGCTGTCGCGAGGTGGCCGAGCTCGCCTCTCATTGGTCAGTGTTTTTCGTTAATAACTCGCAAGCAAAACCACGGATTGCGCTAAGGAAAATGTTACCTCAAATGACTTCAGGAACTCCTTATTTCCCGATTTTCAGTAACTTTTGGGACTTCCTGCAGACCAGCTTTACAATGAGAACACTAAAGGCGATTAAAATAAGATGGCAATGTTTATTCAATATAAAAAAAAACAACGGTATTATTTAACGTAAATACCTCGAACATATTAATATATCGTACTCGAACATGCTCGAATTTGTTTTGAGAATAAGTTTCCGCAAATTGAATTTTGGCGCCATAATTTACAGGCTTGCCATTCCACGAACGAAAACGGCACTCCGATTCGAATTTAATTTTCTATACGACAATAATGTTTGTGGACATTTGTCTTTCGATGGAGATCTGAATTTTTTCAAATAACTAATTGGAGATGTTAGACGACGATTGGAAACGTCAAGATCAAATTGTAGGTTAAACATTCCGTAAGTTTCTAGTAATAAATTCTGCTAAGAGACTGTAAACGATAATTGAGGAACTGTAAACGGTATTCCTTCCTCAACCCTGGAAGCTGTTATTTGCCATTTTATCTAACAGTGTCAACGAACCAGTGGAGACGTGCCATAAATGAGTTTCTTTTCCTACTGGCACGTAATCATTTCCTTACGACAAGTCATCCTTGAGCAATGGCCCGAGGGTGTCAATGAAATGCTTCCTCGAAATACTTCCTTCGTATCCGACGAAACGACGAAAATATGTTCAAAAAGCTTAGACGAAGATCGAGTAAACAATATTCTACAGAAAAATAATTGCAAATTGTATAAATAACTTCGAACTTCTTTAAAAATATTTAAGACAGAAAAACTCGACTGTTTCATGGAAGAAATTGTCGAGAAGCTAGCTCAACCTACATCCAGCGAAGAAAACACTGAAAAAATGCAACAGTTGCTATGCAAATGATATTCGAAAGTGCATCATTAACGGCTTAAGGAAAACATGCAGCGGCAAGCATGAAACTTGTGCCGAGGAGAGTTTTAAGGCGACTTTTGAAGAAAAACGTTTAATGCAGGAAATATTGTAGGAAATTAGAAAATTTGATTAGCACACGTGCGCGAATTGTGTGGAATGAAGCCGGTAGCCTCGGTTATGTAAATGGCTGCTGATCTTAATGGCCGATTGGACCGGGTGCTGGGAAAATGAAACCCCTGAGAAAATTTACGAATCGCGTAGGTATTGAGTCTTGCATAGAAGTTTTCTACATTTACCTTTTCGTTGCTCCAGTTTCCACGGGAATCGGACTCCAATGTCGCTGTCACGGTTGCTATCCACACAACTGTAGCCACCTGCTCCGAAAAAAACCATGGGGGTTTATAATGAAAAGAAATTGCAGAATATGCGATCAGAAAGTAATACATTTTTACTCCGCAAAACTCTTTCAAGTCTACGAGGGATCGAAGAACATTGCTCTCTTAAATTCATACTTTTGTCTTTAATTCTTGGACATCGATTTCATGAAAAATGAAAGGAAATAGTTGAAAAGTATGTAATTAGTAAATAATACATTTTTGTTTTGCAATTTTTTTTTTTGTAAATTAATAAGGAACCAGAGAAAACTATTTTCTTCATTCTTGTCTTCAATTTTCGGAAATCGATCTCATGAAAAGCATAAACGAAACAATTGAAAAGTGCATAATTAATAAATAATAGATTTTTGCTTTTTACATTTTTTCCATGTCAACGGTGAATTGTTTTCTTCGATTTTGGAAGAATAAAAAGAAAATGGAAAACGTTTTTGCATTTATGAATGTCTTATGAGTTTTTACGTCCGATTTTGAGTAAAAGGTGCATGACTTCGTGCATTGTATTATATTAACATTAATTCGCGGCTTCCCGGTGTTGAGGAAGCATTCGACCGTTTATAATAACTGTATATGTGATTAACAGTTGGCTCGTTGCATCGCAACGTTCAATTAAACTTGATGTTCTGATAGAGAATGCTGACGAGGGCATCGTGTATTCCTTTCCTATTGTCAGTGGAGAATTGTGCTCGAACAACGCAAGAAACATTTTGTACTAATTGTTAATATAGATGTCGATGCAAATGCAGATGGAAATCTAAGTGTACGTTGATTTAAATGTGCATAAGTGGAGACGCGTTATTTATCCATGCAAATGCAAGCGGACATAATATGCAAATATAAATACGTAACTGTATAAATGCAGATACAATTACAATTATACTATTTTGTAATTGCAATTTCTCGAATGTTTTAATACAAATGTTAATGTTATAAAAACATTAATAATACTAATATAATAAAGTACAAATAGTACAGTGCGTTGTATAATAACTGTAATGTGGTATAATTGTTTTTAACATTCTGAGAAAATTGATGTAAATTAACAATTTCAAACGGAATCACAAAGAAACTAAAATGATGAAAACGTGATTCGTTTTCACGAATCTATTCACAATGAAAAAAATAAAATTATATACTGCATCATATTGCAGTATAAACATGCTTGCATAATTTCAGAATCTTATGACGGTCTCAAGAATATTTTTCCAAAAGATTTCCCAGTATTTGTAGAAGTGTAACAGCATAATTTTTCTTCGAAGAAAACGATTAAACTTCAAATGCGTATCAAAGCTGTGTCCAATTTAATTGTCTTGCGTTGTTGAAACCATCTACTAAATAAATCTGAAGAAAGAATCGGTTACGAAACAATTTAATTTTATTCTCTATCATTTATATTTTTTCTTTTTTGATTACAGTTCTCCCGCACTGGCAATAAGGGGAAGCGTAAGCAACCAGAACAGCTGAGAAGACAAATTTCAATTTGCTCGGATTTTTGGCACACAATTTCCATCTGATTTAATTCAGCATTTTCCATATTTTAATTCTGCAGTCTTAACAAGATCGAACGATGCGAATTAATTGGATAAAGGAAAAAGAAGACGATGTCTCGAGAGACTCACCAGATGAAGTTTCATGATTAACAATTCGGTGAACAGTAGTTCCTGCCCTCCCTAGTCCAGGATGTAACTCCTCTATTCTGTTGTGCGGTTGCCAATCCTCTGGAACGTCGATGCACGCACTCCGGAAAGAAACAGTGTACTACTTCGTCCCGGCGCGATACACTTGACTTAACTGGTAGCTCCAGTTATCCCCACGCATCAAAGGAGTCCGAAGAGAGCTACAATCGCCTTTAAAAGATCCCTCGGACAGCATCCGATCCGATCCGATCCGAACCGCGATCAGCACGAGCCCCCTTTGCTGGATCTCCTTGCTGAAGAAAGCGCGGGATACCGGATTCGTTCGGACAAATACCAACGGAACGACGCTCGGGCAACATTAATCAGCAATTATAGAACGAGAACACGTCACTCGAATTTTACACGCAATTTTCTTTTCTATTTATCAAGCGTTTCGGATCTTCGTGGGTTCGTTTAGCTTTACGAGTACAAGGTTGCAAATATTAATGCAACTAAACTTTGAGGATAGAATAAATAGAAATATTAGCTTTGACGTTAGGTTTTATTATGGCGGCAGGACATTTATTATCACGCAGAGCGGCAATTGTAAACCTACCTTAAATATAGATTTAATTTGATTCTAGGTAATTGCATGAAATTATTCATTCCGTGTATTGACTTAACATGGTAATTCTATTTATCAATGAAATAAAATCTAGTTTGGTGTGATAATTCTGTTAATGAATAAGTTAAATCTCTTTTAGTGTAACGATTTCATTCGTAAATTAATTAAGTCTCTTTTAGTATATCAATTTTATTTATGAGTAGGTTAAATCTCGTTTGGTACAACAATTTTATTCGTGAACAAGTTAAATCACTTTTAATGTAACAATTCCATCCATGGATAAATTAAATCTCTTTTAGTATAACAATTCTATTCACGAATAAATTAAATCATTCTTAGTATAATAATTTGATCGATGAACCAGTTAAATCTCTTTCAGCATATCCATTTTATTCGCGAATAAGTTAAATCTCTTTTAGTATAACAATTTTGTTCATCAATAAAATATATTCGTTCCAATATACTCACTTTATTCATCAATAAAGCGTATTCGTTTTAATATATCTATTGAAAAAAGATTATATTACTATATTCATTAAAATAATTCATAGAAATGAAGTACCGCTTCGTAAACTACTGACTTTCACTGGCTGTCAAAGATAATCGTTTTATCAGGTATTTATTCATGCGGTGTTTATTTGATTTGTACTTGTTGGGAAATTGTTGTAACGGGTTCGAGACGCATTTTTCAGCCGATATTTCCTATGAGGAAGAAACTTATGGGCAATGGCGCGACCGAGGATGATCGAATGAAAGGTCGAGAAAGTGACACTTGGCGGGACGGCGGGCGCGTTCTCAATGATTCTATGATTTTCCTTTCTTCTCGCGTCTGCTATTATTGCAATTAATAGCCCGGTGCTCGGTCATGGCAGTTATAGCGAGGCATTCGTGGTATCAGAGAAACGGGAAACGAACTCCACCGTCCCGTTGTCTCGAATTAATTCTAAAAAGGCATACGTAATTCATGAGGAGAGACAATGCGCGGCGATTATACCGCGTTATTTAATACTGTCAACAATACAATCATGTAAATGTTCTCACAGTAAAAATCTCAGGAAATTGTACATCGTTCGCGGCTACCCAAGCAATTGAATTGTTGAAACAATTTAAGGAAGTGTTCTATTCTCTCGTCTCCTAAAAATTAGTATTATTAATGTATACTTCTTTTGTGTTTACAAATTTTTTAATTATAACTTCACCCATCTTTGTCTGATTTTTTATTTTTTTTACATGATGTCGAATTCTATTCATTCGCAAAATTAATGAATCTTGAAATGCATTTCACCAGCTGTAATTTGAGCTAAATAATATTCGGAAACTCCCACGAGAAGACATTTTTAAAATTGTTTTGAAATTAGTGTCCACAAAAATTGCTATTTTTTTTCTCTAGGCTATCGATCCAGATTTTCCAATTTACTCAAATTTTCTTCTCGTTCAAAATTACCACAGCTCAAAGTGCATTTCTCGAGCTTCAATTTGAGTTCAACAAAGCTTAAAAATTCGCACGAGAAGACGTTTAAAAATTCTTTTGAAACTTGCCTTTAAAAAAGTGACATTTTTCCTCGACTCTCCGGCTCAGATTTTTCAATTTTTCGACACGACGTGAAATTTTCTTTTGCACCAAAATTACCACATTTTAAAGTAAATTTCCTCGGTTTCAATTTAAGATCAAAAGTATTCAAAAATTTCTACGAAAAGACATTTTGCAATTGATCAAAATTTCTCTCCCAGAATCGTGTCATTTTTTTTTCGTTCCAGCGAACGCCATGACACACGAAACAATGGAAAAACATAGGTCCGATCACAATGGCGAATAAAATATAACAAATCCATGTTCTACAATACGCCTACTTTCTGCTAAAAGGTTAAAAAATTGAAAAACTGAGGAACGTCATCTCTTGAAAATCGAAACTTTCAGAAAACAGCAGCTAAAAATGGCAGCCAATGCAACGGGCTGTAGACGAGCGATTTATGCATGTACGGTTTCCAGTCGAATGCAAATTCTTCGTTGAGTTTATAGTCGAATAGTTAATAAATAGTCCCGCCCAGGCCATTCGGCGGTTGCTCTTTACTTTCATCTGCCTTTCACTGCTTCGCATCGCGATCTCGTGCGTGTTCTTTTTCTTCTCCGGTGTGACGGACGCGAATTGCACGCCGGGGATCATCGTCGCGTTGTTCAATGAAACGCGTTTTCGTGGAACACTTTTACTCGCAACGCGGTACCGTTGCGAGAAACGTCCGCCGCGAGAGTTTCGCTGCGGTGACGGTTTTATCGGTGGCGATCTGAAAAATCGGACGGCGCATAGAGGATGCAACCGGGTTACTGAATCGAAATGCATTCTGTTGCGCAATAAACACAGTTATAACTGGCTGTATAAACGTAACAACGTTGATCGGATGCGCATACGGATCAGCTGCAATTTGCGACGTATTTCGTTCGCTGTTATTTATAATTCATCCACTTAAACGTTAATTAAAATCCGTTAATACGGCTGCATTTTCGTCGGAAGTCTCTTCGTAAATGGAATCGTGTATGTGTTTGTCATTTATACAACAAGACGTATAATTTATTATTTTATTATTTTATTATCTATTATTTTATTACTTATTATTTTATTATTTTATTATCTATTATTTTATTACTTATTATTTTATTATTTTATTATCTATTATTTTATTACTTATTATTTTATTATTTTATTATCTATTATTTTATTACTTATTATTTTATTATTTTATTATCTATTATTTTATTACTTATTATTTTATTATTTTATTATCTATTATTTTATTACTTATTATTTTATTATTTTATTATCTATTATTTTATTACTTATTATTTTATTATTTTATTATCTATTATTTTATTACTTATTATTTTATTATTTTATTATCTATTATTTTATTACTTATTATTTTATTATTTTATTATCTATTATTTTATTACTTATTATTTTATTATTTTATTATCTATTATTTTATTACTTATTATTTTATTATTTTATTATCTATTATTTTATTACTTATTATTTTATTATTTTATTATCTATTATTTTATTACTTATTATTTTATTATTTTATTATCTATTATTTTATTACTTATTATTTTATTATTTTATTATCTATTATTTTATTACTTATTATTTTATTATTTTATTATCTATTATTTTATTACTTATTATTTTATTATTTTATTATCTATTATTTTATTACTTATTATTTTATTATTTTATTATCTATTATTTTATTACTTATTATTTTATTATTTTATTATCTATTATTTTATTATTTATTATTTTATTATTTTATTACTTATTATTTTATTATCTATTATTTTATTACTGATTATTTTATTATATATTATTATCGCTATTATTGTTTCTTGTCTCAATATTATTTATTATTTGATTACCTTCATTTCTGTTTTTAGCGTACGTTAGAAGTGGTGAAACTTCTGTTAATCGGCGGAGCAGCGCTTCCTCGTTAATCTTCTGTATCTATTTCGTTGTCAGCGAGGAATCCTGTTTCGTTATCTCCCGCTGTTTATTAATTGCGGTAGTATTAATCACAGCATCGGGACGCAACAGTCCGTTTGACAAGAAACAAGAATCAAAAGTGCGCGCTTTTGCAAACGAAACGCGGTCAACGGGTATTTTTTTGTCTGGCCATGCCCACCGCACTCGGCAACTTTCTAAAGTGCGCTCGACTACATTATACTTCATTGTTACGGTCGTAATTGTTTGTTTGCCACGTCGAACGAATGTCTGAATGATCTGTGAAACCGTTCCGTTCTTACTTTCGTTATCTTTGAGGATAAGTTGAACAGAATCGAGTTTCGTCGTTTAAATAAAATGTGTTTAAAAGTAATTGAAGATGGAGCAGATCGAACATAGTTGACTGATATAATTTGTCCTGAAGTTAATGAAGTTAATTATTAATTATATTGATATTAATCGTTTTGATAAATACATTTAGAAGTAAAATATATTATAGGTTGCTTTCGCTAATTAATTATAAGTTGCTATCTGTCAAGCACAGAAGATTTGTGCTGTTTGATTCGTAAGATTTAACAGAGCTTCTGACGCGAGTTATTTTGTTTTGAAATCTAAAAACGGCGCCATTCCACGTAGTGGCGAAACACGCAAAAAAATGTAACAAATTAATTTTATCTGCTAATGGTAAAATCGTTGTGGATGGTAAAATTGTTACTGATCAGTTCCAACGTCTTTGGCTTGGTGGTGCTGAAAGTACATACCTACTTGCAGCGCATAGTAGATTCCAGATCACGAAACGTACTCTAATGCAAATGAGATATACAGAATACTCGATTCTTGCTAAGAAGCTTAAATTCTGAAGTATCGGTAATGATGACCGCGATACGGAGAGCCTTCTGAAGCTTCACTTTTCGATGATGAAACAATTCTTTGGGTTAATGTATCTTAGGTGCACATTGTATATATTAATTCAACTTTTCATTATTAACAATGAATTTCACCAGATATTGGATGAGAATGGTAGAAAGGAATAAATAAAGACAATAAATAGTGACAACTGTTCATGTCAACTAAGATGGACGTGCCAATATTCAAGTGAGCAGTTCGGGAGTTGGATATTTCGATAGAGAAAAGTCTAAGCTGAAGGGCTTCGGTTGTAGAAATGACCATTTCTTTATTATAGTTGAGATATTTACAATATTCGACGAGCGTTCTTGCTGCAACTGCCGCGCCGCTCACGAGTATGGCGACTGCCCCGCTTGCCACCTTCCCCTGGTCCAGAAACCTAGCGCGTGGCAGAACGGGCTCATGAAGCAGGAATCAGTTTCATGAAACTCAGTTTGTGAAACGGTTTTGACGACATGGCAACATTGCGGCGAGGAATGAAATGTGGCAATCATGTTTAGACGCTATCCTTCTCTTCCGCT